AGATTCTTGATCTTCAGTTCTTTAGCCAACTTCAGCCCAGCTATCAACGCCTCGTATTCTGTCTCGTTGTTGCTTGCGTTGAACTCAAGTCTTATCGCTTGGCTCAGCGTAGTTCCTTCTGGTGTTCGCAGTTGGATTCCAATCCCTGCCCCCATTTGATTCGAGGAGCCATCCGCGAAGAGCTTCCACAAGGAACAATTATAATCCTCCACCAAATCTTCAGCATCACATTCAAGTAGGAAATCCGCCACCGCTTGACCTTTGATTGCCGTCCTGGGCTCGTATGTAATATCAAATGAACTCAATTCAATGGCCCACTTGGTCATTCTCCCCGATAGGTTCGGTTTGTGTAGAATCATTCTCAAAGGGAAAGTTGTTAAAACGACGATCGGATGAGATTCAAAATAATGTCGAAGCTTCCTTTTTGGGTTGACCTGCGACAAGATCATTCGTTCGGCCCTGGAGTACCTTCTTTCCGGCTCAGACATTGTTTTGCTAACATAAAACACCGGGAACTGCTTTCCTTCTTTGCAACGGATCAGAACGGCACTAGTCGCTATACTGGATACCCCAAGATACAGAAAGAGCTTCTTATTCGGCTCGGGAGCAGACTGAACCGGAGGGTTACGCATGTATTCCTTCAGGCTGGTTAGCGCCTGTCGTTGCTCATCCCCCCAGGTTTGCCTTCCGTGCCCTCGAATTGTATCAAAGAAAGGTTTACAGCGGTCCGAAAGCTTGGAAATGAATCGGCTCAGTGCAGCTGTCCGACCTGTGAGTGCTTGCACCTCCTTAATTGTCTTTGGCGCTGCATTTCTGATCAGGGCTTCTGCCTGCGCTGGGCTGGCCTCAATTCCTCTATGATTGACCACATGTCCCAGAAATTGACCGGAGCTTACGCCGAATGAGCATTTGGCCGGATTAAGCTTCATCCCATACTGGCGCAACACATCGAACGCATCCTGCTGGTGCGCTAAATGATCACTCTTCTTCTTACTCTTGACCACCATATCATCAATATAAGCCTCGACTGTGCTTCCCATTTGGCCCTTAAAAATCTTGTTGATCAGCCTCTGATAAGTAGCTCCAGCGTTTTTTAATCCGAACGGCATGACTTTGTAGCAATAAGTCCCCCGTTCAGTAACAAACGAAGTTTTCTCTTCATCAACTGGATCTATGGGAATTTGATTATAACCGGAATAAGCATCCAGGAAGGTTAACCGCTCGTATCCTGTGGTGGCATCTACCATTTGATTAATCCTTGGCAATGGGAAACTATCCTTTGGGCAAGCTTTATTCAGATTAGTGAAGTCGATACACACTCTCCACTTCCCATTCTTTTTCTGCACTACAACAACATTGGAGAGCCAGGCCGGGTACTGAACTTCTCTGATGAATCCGGCTTCAAGCAGCCGATCAACCTCTTCAGCTATAATCTGATTTCGTTCTGGAGCAAATCTTTTCTGCTTCTGTTTCACTGGCTTTGCATTCGGGCCTACATTGAGGGAATGGCAGGATACAGCAGGATTTATCCCTAGCATGTCTGAATGGCTCCATGCGAATATATCTGCATTCCGAGTCAAGAAATCAGTTAAATCTAGTTTTTCTTCTTCAGTAAGTCTGCTTCCCACCCTTGTTGTTTGGTCCGGTTTCTCACGGTCAATCTTCACTTCATGAAGGGGTTCTGTGGTTAGAACTGGTGGCTCCTCCTCCCCATCTTTGCTGGGAGGAGGGTTCTGTAATTGCTATTTTGGACTGGCAGAACGGATGGGATTTTTTCCTTTTCCAGCATATTTCAAAGTTACTGAATAACATTCTTTAGCTGCAACCTGGTCCCCGTGTATGTCTATCACCTTGGTCCCATCTGGACCCAAACATCACATCACTTGATGCAAGGTTGATGGGACGCCCTGAACTCTGTGAATCCATCCTCTGCCCATCAAGAGGTTGTAGGATGGATGAATTTTCACGACCACAAAACTTTCAGTTAAAACTCGCTCAGCAGCTTGTACTGTCAATTCCACCATTCCAATGGGTTCCGCTCGCTTCCCATCAAATCCGAGCAACGGATTTCCTGTGAGTTTGAGTTTTTCGGGTTCGATCTCTAGTCGGTCGAACGTCACCCTGGGCATGACATTTGCACTACTTCCTGGATCAATCAGAACTCTTCGAACCAGGCATTCTGCAACCGTCAGACTGATGACTAACGGATCTTCATGAGGAATCTGAACGCGTAGCAGGTCCGTTCTATCAAACTTTATCGATGTGGACGCGTTCTGCTGGTGCAAAGCATGCACACTGCCAATCTTTCTTTTCAATTGGGCCTGGCGTAACCACGTTCTGAGTAACTCTTCTGACTCCGTCGTTTGTTCTGGCCAGCCATGAATTGCATTTATAATCCGGATAGGTTGAGAGTTGTGTTGGTTCGGCCTTTGGTTCCGCTTTATCTGCTCAGTCGGGCGGTTCTGCTCTTGCGTCGGACCTTGAACATAGCTTGCAAATTCTCCCTTTGCGATTAGCATCTCTACCTGCCTCCTTAGGTTCCTGCATTCGTTAGTCTGATGTCCAAAATCACTATGGAAAGTACAATGTTTAGTTTGATCCCTCTGTTCAAGAGGTTGCCTGATTGGCAGAGGAGGACGAAACTTATCTTTGTTCTCTTGGTATAGCCTTGCTAAGGTGACTCTAAGTGGAGTGACTGATTCCTCCTCCCTGGGCCTCTTCTCCGCCTTCCATGAGGTGTGACGTTGCGCCTGAGCTTGTTTTTGCCGGATCTTGGCTTTGGACTTCTCTTCCGTCGAAATAATTGACGTCTTCCTCGAATTAGCTGCCTCTTCCTCCTCAAGACGAACAAAACCGTCAGCTCTCTCGTTCAGCTCGTCTATGGTCCTTGGCGTATTAACCACCAGGCTGGTGTGGAATGGCGTCTCACGGTTCATTGCGAGTTTAAATGCCTGGACTGCTGTGGATGGATGACACTCCATTACCATGCTTTTAACGAGGTTGAACCGGGTGAGAAAAGCTTGGAGCCGCTCATCCTCATGCTGCTTCATTGTGAAAAGGCTTGATACATCCTTAGCCGGACGTTTATTCCCATAGTACTGGCTTATGAACTTATCGCATAAGTTCTGGAAATTGGCGATTGAGCCTTGAGCCAGATTCTTGAACCAATTGAGAGCTGGTCCAGCCAAGCTCTTAGGAAAGCATTTGCACATCAAAGGATCATTATTAGTATTCAAAGCCATTTTCAACTGAATATGGTAGATGTGATCGATCGGATCGGTTGTTCCGTCAAACAGAATGAAAACCGGCATGGAGAACTTCTTCGGATTCGGTGCGTTCAGAATTTCATCAGTGAACGGAGATGCAACCGTCCTTGCTGATGAGCGCAATGCTTCGTTTTCCCTTGAAAACCGTGACGGAAACCCCCGATCGGCAGATCTCCTTTCTGAACTGTGGTAATCAACTGTTGCTAATGAAGGTCGGTAAGGCGGATCGAACGACCTGTCCTCCGCAAACTCACTCCGCCACTGTGACGCAACCCTATGTTCATATGCCGGTGCTTCCTCTCTCATAATCCGTTCGTGGTGTGGTTCCAGATGAATAGATCCTTCTCGATTCTCTACTCGACGGACATTCGGAGGCAGATCACCGATTATAACTTCATCACGACGTGGATCAACACGATTGACACTTTCTGGATCACCTTGACGATCAGCTTGGGACGGTAAAGCTCCCTCTCCTTCAGGAGGTGGCCTCGGAATTGCAGGAGCCTCACGACGCTCCATTCTAGCTCGTAGCTCTGCATTTTCTTTCCTCAAAGCGTCGATCATGCTCATCAGCTCATCGAGCTTCGTTTGCTGGCAGTTCTCTAAAGGATTTGAGTTCGCCTCTCCGATCATCATTCCAGATTGGAGCAAAGTCATCAATTGCAGATTTCTTGACCAGATCGGAGTTCCGCTAATGCGCGCACACCAGATCTGAACTCACACTTGCTGAATTCAGTCCGCTACTGGCCAGATTCAGTAATCACAACAGATCGCCATTGTGTAGTTCGCCGGATCATGCACAGATCTGATCTGCTTGGATCGGACGCCAACTTCTCGAAATCAACCGGAGCCTGGACTCATTGAGACGAATCGTTTTATTGCCAATGTTGATTCAACTTTCGCAGATTAATCGTCTTCCTCACAGAGTGCTTTGAATCAATTCGATCTGGAACAATATCAATCAATCCTTCCTGTTCTTCCCACAGATGGCGCCAATTGAAAGTACAAAGAATTTTCCCCAATTACAGAGAGAGAATTTCTTCACTCTCAATGCTTTCTAACCTCTTTTCCCTCTCGATTTCCCTTATTTATAGACGGTTACAACCTCCTTTGGCCTGGGCCTTATCTGCTCCCTTTTGTCTGAACTCAACTTCTCTCATTTTAATATGGGCTTCTGTAACGACTTTATGGATCTGGGCCCATCCCGCGTGAACTTGCTCCATCTTGTCTGTCCATACCTGAACCGTCCTTTGCAATACGGATCATACCAAGCCTGGGTCATTTTGGTGTCCTCAGTTTCCTATCTATGAGATGGATGGAAACCTTTTCTTGCACCATATCCCATTTAGTAGTTATAATTGAGTATGTTTTTGTAAAGGAACATCGTTAAACATTACCATATAATAAAATATATAATATATTTACATGTGTAATACATGTTTATGTACACATCCAACTTTTGGTCTTAAGATTTGGGATTCGAGGAGGTCTTACACTTAGATACACACCCACATCCGATACACTTACCCGAGTCTGGGTAACACTGGTATTAACACTATATGAGTATATAGTATACATTTCTTTTTTTAAATAAGATTAAATAAGAAATTCACTGTCAATGGTAAATTTGGCTAAATGCTTTTGTCTGTTGAGGATATTGATTGCTGGTGCACAGACAAGTTTCTTTTTATAACTCCGCAGAGCATCATTTTTCTTTTGGTTTGGTGCTTTCAGGATTACTCCCGCCTGGTACACAGTTTGACTTATTTCGAGGAACAGCTGCTATGAAACAAGATGTAGATGATACGTATCCAACAACCCTTGGGCACACCATCAAGGTAAGCTGTGGATGTATTTCTTTTTTGACTCCATTTTCATATTTGTTTATGAGCTTTAAACTTTGCAACCACTTGTTATGACATCTCTTCATTTTTTATATGACATCTCCGCATTTTGTAGATGGAAAATTTGTATGATCAGTTGCACTGGTTCTAGTTTTGTTTTGATAAGTAAGATTTCATTAAAAGGCGGTCAAGGGGGAGTGGAGCCCAATACAGCTACACAAGCCGGGAACCTAAAACCTCAAGCAATCCTCAAAAGACAAAAGAATCTCCACAGATTTACATTTCCTCCCATTTACCCAAAATAATAAATAGCTAAGTACAGTGAATTTGACCGCCCATATAGGAGACTTCACCCCATCAAAAGATTTTATATTTCTTTCACTCTGTAAAGCGCACTGGTTCTAATTTTGCAAATATATATGTTTTATGTGGGTTCGAGGTGATGAATAAAAGAGAGTGGAACTCCTAGATGGGCTGGGGCTAGAGTGGAGTTGAGGCTGACTTTGATTGATTTATTTATTTTAATAAGTAAGTTGAGGTGACTAACCAAGAGATTAAAGTGGCAGTCAAAATCACTAGAGAAGTAGAGATGGCTTAGGGTCTGGACCTTGTTAAGGTAACAAATGACATTTCATTAGATAAGGTTAGGGCAAGGTAATCTTGAGGTGTAATTAAAGTGATGGATGGGGTTCGGGTTCAGTTTTTTTCAATCCCTTCTAAATGTTGAACTAGGGATTATATGTGGGAACAAGGCAGTTCTTATTTAGATCTGATGGTCTGGTCAGTTCATTAGGCTCATCTTTACCTTGGGCCAATGGAAGGCTTTCTGGTGCACTGGGGATGTGTGATTTGAACCAAATAGTGGTGGCATCAGGGTTATATGGTAGGTAGCTTCGGTTGTAGTGTGTAGACAAAGCGACAAGCTTCCCTTGTTAGGTTCACTATGGTGCAATGGCATATATTTATGTACTCATTCGAGATCCATTGGATGGTGGCCATGCATGTGGTCTGTCATAGTTGAGACTTTTGATGAGGCAACCTGATGCAGTACAAATAGACTTGCTGTAATTTTGATTAGTAATCAGAAAACATCAATCATTGGGGCGAAGGCCGGGATAGGGGATGCTAGAGAATTTATTAATAGCTTTCAATGTGATAGAAGTGGCCTTGCCCCTCAGCGTGACTGGGAAAAATACTATTTTCACCCCTTACCCATAAAAGGGTGAGCTGACGACAGCCATGCATGCAAGACCTGTATTGCTTTTCTTAACCCCCTTTACAACAATCTACAACGATCAAGATTTTCAAACTTCTAAGCATCCCCATACATAGAGGGTTATTGGTGAAGGTATTACTAGAATTACCATTACTTGAATGCATGAGTTATACCGTCTCCATCACCATTACCATCATCGTCTTTTGTGCCTGTTGGCTTTGTTTTCTGACAAGTAGCTACAAGGGAAGTGGGAGAGAGAGAGAGCGAGGGGGGGGGGGGGGGGGTGTGGGCTGGTAAAAAAGGGGATGCGAATGAGAAGATGAGACGAGACTAGATGAAAGAGGTGAGAAGACAAACAAAGTGGATGAGAAGATAGATTGAAGGAGTTTGGCTGGAGAGACAGGGGGATTGAGAAAAGCAACAGCACGAGGGAGAAGAAAGCATAGAGGGGGAGAATATTCAATATTCCAAAGCTAAAAAACTTAGTTACATAGAAGCCTTTATATAGGCAAAAGTATTACCAAACACAAAAAACCCTAAAACCGGGAAAGTACAAAAATAACCTAAAATTAACATTACCAAAAATAATAATAGACGTAATTAAAAACCCTAATTTGCATCAATTCCTAATCTAATTTATATTGGCCCTTTCCCAAAAGTAGAGGCGGAGCACGTGTGGCTCATTTATGAAAATCATAGCTCGTTCTCCATCAATTCTCGCAGTCTAAGAAGAACTATCCTCCAGAGAGTAAAGCTGGTAATACTGCTCTAAAAAGCTCGGATCAATTTGGCAAAACTCATCTGTACTCCATGTGACATTTGAAGTTGGATAACACGTCCATTGTGAATCACTCTGATGTCCACTAACTCTGATGTCCACTAACATACTCGGCCCAATCTAAGTACCATGGCCGACATGATGGAAGTACAAGTGATTCTGTTGAAGAAAATGTAATTCCACGTGTTGAAATACAAACTAACAACATAAGTGGCTCAAAGGTACTACCTCGGTTAGGCATCAAATACTCCACATGAAAAACTAAACTTATACTGTTATCTGATGGCAAGTCAAATAAATCTGCATTAGGTCTGGATCTATGGATGAATTGAAAAGGTTCCTGGGCATGTAATGTCTGTAAGGAGTTATTAGGAAAAAGTTGTGGGTGTACATGATTTAGAACATAATCTCCTTCCATAAATTAATAATTTCTATGATAAGTACATACAGTAAATTTATAACTTTCGTTATTCAAAACAAATTGTTGTCTCATATCGGCATGAAACTCATGGACAACCTGGACAAAGGAATCTGAAATTTTAAATGAACAAAAATGTGGAGGCAACGGAATAAAGTCAATGGATTTGTAGAGTCGGAGCATGTGCGGCTCATCCATGAAAATCATAGCTCGTTCTCCATCACAACCTCAAAGAACCTTGAATTTAACCCTAGTGGATAGGGCCATTTCTGCATATTCCAGACTAGGCTTTCTCAAGTCGACTGACATTCCACAATCTTCTTTAATTGTATCAGTAGATGCTATTGTAGGCAAGCCAAGAGGTCCTTTTATATGAGGCTTATATGTGGGCAAGTACTTATCAAAAAAAAAAAAAAAATGTGGGCAAGTAAGTTCTTGTGAAGTCAATTCTGGCATCTCGACTTATTTGTAGTGGTCGTCATATGTAATCAGGAAGCTTCACTGGAGATAATGTGCATATGGGGAAAGCTGCAAGGTTTGCAGCCAGATCTGTATGAATAAAGCTAAGGGGTGTTGGTTGGGTGAGACGGATTGTATGGCTTGAGAAGTGTGCAATTGGGCCCCATTGGATGGCGGTACCAAGAGAATTTGATATTCATAAAGCCTGCAAGAAAAATAAACATCTCGCCTCAAAATAAAGGTTTTGTCTCTCGAGGTAAAGATTTTGTTGGTAAAATGTGAACCTACTATTAGAAACGTTTAAAAATTTGTTCATCCATGTATGTCTTTCTCATGAAGAGCTCTGTGCTGGCTAAACAGCTCATCAAGAAAGAAAATCTCTTACCTATCCTTACACGAAGACCAACTAGCTAGAAAATCAGCAACAATAATTGTTTTGCTATATACGCATGCAGTAATCAAAGATTATATTTACCAAGGTTTATGTGCAAAAATTTGCATAATTTTGTTGGCTTCGAGTGATTCGTTGCAACAACCACATTTTATTTTTAATTCTAGTGCCGGCTCCATCTTAATTTTGTTAGCTTCTTGCCATAAAACTGAACAAGGGTTCTTAGTGTGAAAGACACTCCATTGCTCCTCATATTGTTGAATGCAAGTTTGGAATTCATATTCCACATACACACCTAACTTAGAACACTTAGAAAATGTAGGTTTTGCATTTAGTTTCTCCAATTTTATGTTCCATACTTCATAATTTTTAACTATTTAGCAACTTTCTGATGTCATGTTTTTTGGTGGTGTCTCTCACTGCAGTTTGGGAAAAAAAGTCACCCAGAGTGTGCTCGGTTCTCACCAGATGGACAGCTCCTTGTTTCTTGCTCTGTTGATGGATTTATTGAGGCATGCTTGATACTTAATTAGGAAATTAAATAGCTTCATTTAAGTTGTGAATCTGTTTATGTTATTAAATGCTTGCTCACATGGTGCATACCAGGTTTGGGATCACATAAATGGAAAACTCAAGAAGGATCTCCAATATCAGGCTGATGTGAGTATTTTTTTTTCCTTTCTGTCTGTTCTGTTTTTCAGTGATCTCTATATTCTGCTCTACATGAACAGGTAACTTCTGTGATTGGACCCACAATTTATGGTCAATACACCACCTTCTTGTACTTTTTATTTATTTAAAAATAACGTTTGAAGGAAATTTACAAGTTTGCCTTTTTTTTGTTAAATATTTTAATACAACTGTGTAAAATTTTCTAGACATGGTTGGTTATAATTTTCTGATTTATAAGTTGAGAAAGTTGATTATTTCTTAATCATCAAATCTAGATTATTTATTAATCTCTATGTTTTCCTCCTTTTGGGACTTTAAGTAACATAGATGCATAAAGCCTTAAATTTCACTTGGCAATATGAATGTGTTAGCAAAGGCTTGTATTACTGGGAAATATACTTTTGCAGTTATGTTGTTGATTTTTAGTGGGTTCTATAGACATCCATTTTGATTTTGAATTATTTATTTATTTATTTATTTTATTTAAATTATAAGTTGGGTGCTCTTTTATATTTATAATATTTTGAATTGGTTGATTTATTCTCGCTCTGTCTATTTTCTGTTTTCTAAAACTTTTCAGTGTCAATGCATCCGTGTCATGTCGAATCGTATGCTATGCCTGTATTCATGCTTCTTAGATTTGGAGCAAGTATCATTCTATACCATATAATTACATTGTGGGAAGACAAGCTTGGGTTCCCTGCAAAGGTATTTCAAAGGTCATAGTTCATTCTAAGATACCTTTCTTTGGTTGAATCACTACCTTGTAGTGCCGTAATTGAGTTGAGCTGTTCATGATCGGCTTGCTCAAGCTCGATTATTAAATGAGCAGAGCTCAAGCAAGACTGAGCTCGATAAAGTTAGGCTTAGCTAGATTAGTCATCCGCACCCCTCATCCGTTTAAGGTAGTAATTACTAATTACTATTCATTCTTGTTTGAGAACTGATTCCACGATGACCAACCAACACCCCCACCCCCTTCCTCTCTTCTTTTCTTCTCCTGTTGGGTGATGGAACTTATTTTTAATAGTAATAGCTTCAAGCTCCAGCATTTTTGTACAAAATATAATATTCTTAGGGGAAATCTAAAGTACTGAGAAAAAGAGAGGAGAGAGAGTGAGAGTTTGAAGGAGTTGTTAATGGTCTCCGGTGTTCTCTGATGTTAGGCTTCTGGTGTTGCTGTTTAACTTCCACACTCTCACTTTCCTGCTCCCCTCATTCTTCCCTTTTTTTTTTTTTTGTTTTCGTTTGTGGTGGTGGTGGGTGGTTTTTTTTTTTTTTTTTTTGGTGTTGGGGGGAGGGGGGGGTGGTGTTTAAAGGTTTACATTGTGGTGTTTAAAGGTTTACATTTTTTGCCTTATAATTTCTGATCTTCCACAGACCTAATATATCTAGATCTACCTTTATTAAAACTCGGTGATCTTTCAATTCAATATCCTACTTTCTTTTTTAATACATTTGTTGCCTTTTAATGTGCGAACATCTATACATCTAGTGTATCTGTGATCTATTTATAAATCTATGACTGCACTTTCAATTAATGCCCTCTGGAGTTTGTTTTGGATATTTACACATTCTTTGTCTAGGATTTCTTTTTTTTTTGATAAGTAATTTTCGTCTAGGATTTGAACGTGCTCTTTCATGTATTAAGGTTTGGTTCTCATTTTTGAGTTTTCTTTTTATTTTTGGTCTTTATTGTTCTCGGTGAGCTCAAGCTCAGGTGAACAATGGTGAGCCCAACTAGAAAGGTTATGCGAAATTGTCCAAGTTTGAGCAGTCTACCTTGAGCTGCCTAATACTTGGCTTGGTTCTAGTCGGCTCATTCAGACTTACTCCTTGGAGGCGACCTTGACCATGGATAATTTGGGTGAGATTGTAACAGGTAAAAAGTAATTCCAAATTGGTGTTGCATGTGCAAGAATGCTTAAGAAAACACCGATCATCTCCTCCCATTTTGTATGTCCTGTGAATTGTGGTGCTTGCCGATCTTTTTGTGCGGTGAGCTTTGGGTTATGTCTTCATTTGTGGAGGATCTTCTTGGTTTCTGGGCTTCTGGTTGCACTAGCAGTAAAGTTTCTCAGCGCTGGCAGGCATCACCTTTATCTCTCATGAGGAGTATGTCACGGGATGGGATATGTGTTTTTATTGGAGGATATGACTAGGAAAGTGATGTAGGTGTCTGGGTGATTCCTGGATCCTTTACACTAATATAGACTTCTAATTTTTTTTTTTAAAATGTAATCTGAGTTTAATCAATGTTTCAAAACTTGGCCAGTTGGCTTAGTTGAGTCTGAGTAGGCCGAGATGTTGGCCATAACAAAAATAACTCCTATCTTGGCCTGACTTGGTCAGTACGTTCAATTCTCACCAAGACGACCTTGATTTTTGGCTTGGGTTTGAAAACCCTGTTTTTAACTTCTCTTTCTCATTTTCTCCTTAATTCCAAAATAATGAGAATACTAAACCCCCATCTTACTACATTATAGATTTACATATCAAGACAAAGATTTTTTGTAGATTTACGTACTAAGTTTTTCAAACATTTGGCCTTTTTTTTTTTTTTTTTTTTTCCTTTCGAATTTTGGACTTAAAACTTGTCTATCGGCTCGTTTTGATAATTTTTTGTGTTTGAAAACTTTCTATGACTGTCATGGATGATAGTAGTTATGTAATCCCCATTACAGCCTGCAAGTGCGCAACTGCGACTGCTTCGGTGGCCATGACCGTGTTCTAAAACCTTGAATGTTATAAGGTCAAGTTTGCCTCTTACACACTTTGCTTGTGCATGAGTTGAGCCCCCACTGGCATTTTCTTTTATATGATTTAGTACCTAGCGCGTAGAAAACTGTTGATTGTCCAATTCAGGTCGATGCTTTTATACTTGAATTCTTGTTCCACTCCTTATTGCCCGATATTTTTTTCATTTCACACCATTTGAATTATTAAAGCAACTGCTTATAATTATTATTTACATGAGCCAATAAAAAGTAAATGTAGGACATTGTGATGAAGATGGTTTCTAATGTACTTGGTTATTTCAAAGTGAATGTGAATTTGTAACCACCATTTGCGTTTTGTCGAGACTTATATCATCAGAATGCCTTTTTGTGCATTAGTGATATGCTCTAAACTTTTTCAGGAAACATTTATGATGCATGATGATGCTGTCCTTTGTGTTGATTTTAGTAGAGATTCGGAGATGCTTGCATCTGGATCACAAGATGGAAAAATCAAAGTAAGTTTTAACTTGGTATATTTGGTTCTATTGTGAATCCTTTTTTTTTTTTTTCCGAGGATCAGTAGCTGTAACTTCATTTATTTTTTCGGTCAACTAACATGTAGGACATTCAATTGTGCATTTTGGACTCTACAATCGAACATGTTATTATTATTATTTTTTGTTTTTGTCAAAGAATTCAGTTTAAGATTGCGCCAAGATTAACCCCCAAAAGAAAAAAAAAAAACACAAAAGAAAAGAAGAGTTTAGGATTTGGGTTGTCAATCTGGTGGTCCACGTGCTGGGGTTTTATTAGATGACTAATATGTGGAAGTGGACCTCATACGTGTTAAGATATTTACATTTATGATAATTGAGTGCTGATAAATATACATCCCCAATTAGCATAAGGAGAAATAAATGGAAATAGCCAAGTGTTTGGTGGCTTTACAATTAAAGAAATAAAGGATATATATCCTTTTTTTAAAAAAACTTTTCTTAATATTTCATTTTCTATATATATATATTTTTTATAAGTTAATATTTCATTTTATATAATTGTACTTAATTTGACATATTCCTTTACATGTATGTATGTGTGACTGTTTATGGTTTTGGTTTCAAGCTGGAATATTTGAGGCTTTGCTACTGAGAAGAAAAGGGGAGCGATTGTCAAGCTGAGTAGTTTTGTTGAATTTAAGATGTAATCAAATCAAGAGTAAAATATAAGAAGAAGAAGAAAAAGAGAAGAAAGAGGACGAGAGAAAAAGAGAGAGAGACGGGGAAAAAGAGAGAGAGAATGAAAGAATATTTCATCCTTCCACCACATTCTATTTATAGTAACAAGTTTCAGAAATTACACATAAGCCCAATATTATATAAGTAATAACAAATAAGTCCCCGACAACACTCCCCCTCAAGTTGGTGTAAAGATATCTATCATGCCCAGCTTGACTAATATATTGTGCAAGCAAGTCTTGTTCACATGAATCGCACCCTTAGTCAAAGCATCAGCAACCTGATCATGTGTGTTGGCGTATGGAGTACAAATCAACCCAAGTCAAAGCTTTTCCTTGATGAAGTATCCATCGACTTCAATATGCTTTGTCCTGTCATGTTGAACTGGATTGTGGGCAATGCTAATAGCAGCCTTATTGTCATAATACAACTTCATTGATTCGCGAACAGGATAACCCAACTCATCCAACATCGTTCGTAGCCATAACAACTCACAAACTCCACTGTTTCTTGCTTTGCTATGAAACAAGATTACCTCCAACAAATGTGCAACATCCTGAAGTAGATCGTTGATTTGTTACAGGCCCTGCCCAATCAGCAGCAGTATATGCTTCAACATGCAAGTGGCCAAATAATATCCCCTTATCAGGTGAACCCTTGAGGTAACGATGAACTTGATGAGCTGCCTCAAGGTGAGGTGTATGTGGAGCATACTTAAACTGACTAATCACACTAACAGCGTAGGCAATATCCGGGCGTGTGAGAGGGAGGTAAATCAGTTTCCCAACCAATCGCTGAAATCTTCCCACATCATCTAATGGGTCTCATCTACATCATTAAGCCTATGGTTATGCTCAATGGGAATATCAATAGGTTTAGCTCCAAGCCTGCTTATTTCAGCCAACAAATGTAACACATACTTCCGTTGAGAAATAAATCCCCCTTCTTTGTCTTACACCATAACATTGTCCTGTTTGCTGTCCCTCCGAAAGTGTTTGGTTGTGTTTGTTCTGTTCACATTCATCATCTCAAGGACAAAATGGACCCTAAGGTAATCCAATGTGTTTTTCTTGGATACTCCACCACTTAGAAAGGGTATCGGTGTTATAAGCCTGCCACTCGTCGTCGCTTCGTTTCCATGGATGTTACATTCTTTGAGTCTGTTCCTTTTTTTTTTTCCTCTGCTCGGGATTCTCTACAGGGGGAGACTACATACAGGTAGAGAATTTGTTGTCCATTCAGAGGGGATGCCCCCTTCCTTTGCCTTTTCCCATTTAGGGGGAGCTTCTTACTAAGGTGCCTATGTCAAGTCCTCCTAACACTAATGATTTGCAGCATGGAAAACAATTAATTATCTACACTAGGAGGGCAAAACAAGTCATTGACTCACCCCAGGACGAAGAAGTCTTCCTCGATCCAGGTAATACTTTAGTTGACATTGATATTCTTGATTCTTTTCCGAATAGCATTCTCGTTGATGTTGATGTCCCTATTGCCTATCGTAAGGGTGTTCGTATTTGTACAAAACATCCCATATCTCAGTTTGTATCCTATGATGCCTTATCTCCAATATATCGTGCTTTCACTTCGTGTATCTCCTCTGTATCTGTTCCTTCTAGTGTTTTAGATGCTCTCAGTTAAACTCTATGGAAGGAAGCCATGCTTGAAGAGATGAAGGCCCTTAAGAAGAATGGTACTTGGGATATTGTTCCATTACCTAGGGGTAAGAAACCAGTAGGTTGCAAATAGGTCTACACAATAAAGTATCATGCAGACGGAACAATTGAGAGATATAAAGCCTGGTTAGTTGCAAAGGGCTTCACTTAGACCTATGGGATTGATTATCTGGAAACATTTGCTCCAGTTGTCAAGATGAACTCTATACGTGTCTTTCTTTCTTTGACAACTAATTTGAATTGGCCTTTACATTAGTTGGATGTAAAGAATGCTTTCCTTCATGGTGACTTGGAGGAAGAGGTGTATATGACTATGCCACCAGGGTTTAAGCTTGCCAATGGTCAGAATTTAGTGTGTAAGCTAAATAAAGCCTTGTATGGGTTAAAACAGTCACCGCATGATTGGTTTGAGAGGTTCAACACTGCTATGAAAAGAGTAGGGTGCACACAGAGTCAGGTAGATCATACTCTCTTCATCAAGAAGCACCAAGGCTGCACCACTGCCCGTATTGTATATGTTGATGATATTGTTATCACTGGAAATGATCCAGAAGAGATTCATCGAATGAAGTCATTCTTAGGAAAGAGTTTAAGGTTAAAGACCTCGGATTATTGAGATACTTTCTTGGCATCGAGGTGTGCAGATCGAAGAAAGGGGTATTCATTTCTCAACGGAAGTTTGTGTTAGATTTGTTGGCTGAAACAGGCAGGTTTGGAGCTAGACCTATTGATATTCCCATTGAGTAGAAAAATAGGCTTAATGATGTAGATGGAGACCCATTAGATGATGTGGGAAGATATCAGCGATTGGTTGGGAAACTGATTTACCTGTCTCTCATGATAGCCAAGAACTTTAGAAGGCATGCGATTGATAAGGTATGTAGCTGTTAAGGTTGTATCAGCCCGATAACTTTTAGGCATTCCCTTCCAAATTAGAAGAGAAAGGGTAACCTTTGTAATATAACGGTGTTTTCTTTCAGCTACACCGTTTTGTTGTGGTGTATCTAGGCAGGAGGTTTGATAGACAATCCCGTTATCAGCAAAAAAGGAGGCAAGGCCACCATACATAAACTCTCCTCCATTATCAGATCGAAGAATTTTGAGGGTACAACCAAATTTAGTACATACCATCCTATGAAAGGTTTTAAAAATGGAATGAACTTCATCTTTGGTTTTCATAAGATAAAGCCAAGTATATCGACTAAAGTTGTCAAAAAACACAACAAAGTAACGAAAACCAAGTAATGAAGTAGTAGATTTAGGACCCCACACATTAGAATGAACAAGCTGTAAAGGAGTCATACTTTTATTATTACTAGTAGGATAAGAAACACGACATTGTTTGGCAAGAACGCATGTTTCACAATTTAACTTAAAAGATTCAACAAAAGCAAACTGGGCAAGCACATGCTTCAAAACAGGAAGAGATAAATGACCCAGTCTATTATGCCATCGCATTAACATATCTTTATTGATATTACTATTCCTAACACTAGATTGATTTGCAACATAATAAGAAGTTGACCTCGTGTTTAGCAAATACAAGCCATTGTCCTCGCGTCCACTTCCATTCGTCTTCCCCGTGTCCAAGTCCTGAGACACACAATGAGATGGAAAAAAGGTTACACTACAATTCAAGCCTTTTGTAATATGACTGATAGAAAGAAGTTTATTAGTAAACTTTGGGACATGAAGAATAGAGGATAAGTTAGGAGAGGCAGAAACAGTTCCCTTCCCCGCAATGGAGGTGAAGTTGCCATTAACCACTCTAACCTTAACCTTACCAGAACATAAACTGTATGAAGAAAAATCAGATAACATACCAGTCATGTGATTAGTGGCTCCTGAATCAATGATCCAGGGTGGCCCACCAGATAATGTGGGAACTTGATGAGCCGAATGAGGGGTGCCTGTTTGAGCGAAGTTAGAGGTGGAAATGGAGGCATTTTGTGCTAGTAGATGTCGGAGAGCATCAAGTTCAGCCCCGGACAAAGAAGTCGGTGGCCTTGAGGAGGCATGACCAGTAGTAGTCTCACGCTCTGCAGTATGTGCTGTAGATAACCCCTTAAATGGACCAGACCTTGGCCTAGAATTCGAATGAGCAGGAGCTGGAGTAGGGCGACCGTGTAGATTCCAACATGTTTCCCTAGTGTGGCACGTACGCCCACACTGATCACACCTCAACTTGCTCTTGTCATCGTGCTTCCCTCCTTTTGGAGGATTGGGTTTGTTCCATTGTTGTGTGGAAAGAGCAGACCTTTCAGCTAATGGTACTTTTGGCTCAGACTTGGTGTATACAAGTGCAGACATAGCCTTCATTCTACTATCCTCAGCCTGGATATACGAAAACACATCTCTAACAGAAGTAGGGGCTGGATACTTGCCTAACACTTGTACCCTAGCATGCTCGGATCTCGGATGCAGACCACCCAAGAACTCAGATTCGGTTCCTTTCTACCATTGCAAGAAATGCTTTAACATCAGTTGCACGCGCATATATGTAGTCTTGGTAGTGATCTAACTTTTCTCATTTACCACGTAGAGTGTGGTAATATATAGCAAGAGTTTGGTCTTCTTGCTTGAATCTTGAAATCTGTTGTTGGAGTTCATACGGTTTTGTAAAATTACCAACTAAGGAATATGTCTCTTCCACAGCCGTCCATAGCTCTTTAGCTGTTTTCACAAACAGAAACCCTTTGTTGATCTGTGACTGCATTGACTGCAACAACCACGTCATAACTAGTGCTATTTGCACTTCACTCTTTGAATTCCGGATCACTCTTGGAGGGATAAGTGACAGTCCCTTCGATATGGTCGAGCATCCTATGACCAGTGATATGCATACTAGCAAATTGAGCCCAATCCATATAGTTCGTCTCATCCAGCCTAACAGTGGCAATACAAAGGCGTGGATGGTGATTGGTACTACCTCCTAATACTGAAGTCAGACTAGGAGAAGACCCAATTTCTTTTGAAGTCACCTTTGAGCTAGACATTTTATCAAACAGTTTCTAGGTATACAATCATCAGAAACAAAAGTAACAACAAAATACGTAAAGAACCACCTTTCTTATACACAAACTTCAACGAGAAAGATTACCGTCTTCTGAGATGTATAAAAAAAAGACCATCCTGTCACCACACAAACCCTAGAAAATAACAAAGAAGACCATATCAGAATCGTGAACGACAAAGAAAAAGCCGATGTTGCAGAGCCACTCGAGCAGGGGTGCGCTACCCCTTGCGACCCCCAGCCAACTCACTGCAGAGTTGGATCTGCGATACGTGTGGATGTGATATACACTACTTCCTTGCAAACAAATCCCGTCTTGGAATCTCTTCAAAACCCTTCACACCCACTAGGGTTTACATAAACTTGCTCTAGGGTTTCAACTACACACCATGTTTACAAATCATGGTCTGATACCATGTTGACTTTAAGATATAATCAAATCAATAGTAAAGCATAAGAAGAAAGAGAAGAAAGAGGTTGAGAGAAAAAGAGAGAGAGATGGGGAAAAGAGAGAAAGAATGAAAGAATACTTTCATCCTGTCACCACATTCTATTTATACTAACAAGTTTCAGAAATTACACATAAGCCCCAATATTATATAAGTGATAACAAATAAGCACCTGACAACAGTTTTAACCTTTGAAATTTGTCCAGCAGCCTGGTTGACTGTCTAGGGTCTTAAGCTGCCTGGTCCTGTCTGGGATGTTGGCGAGACCCGTTGAAAGGGGTGCTTCATTGTTCTGTTATATGTTCATCGTCATGTAATTGTCTCTGTTGTTGCTGTTTGTTTCTTCTTCTTCTTTTTAAATTTATTTTAACATCGTGCATCTAATTTTCAGATCAGTTTAATTTGTAATCGTGTATTTGTACTTGATAAAATGTGCATCAATGTTGGTTCTCTTAAAATGTAGTAATGAAATTACTAAACATATTTTAATCTGCTTTTGTTTCAGGTTTGGCGCATAAGAACTGGTCAATGCTTGCGCCGTCTTGAGCGTGCACATTCTCAGGGTGTCACTAGCCTGGTCTTCTCTAGAGATGGAAGTCAGATATTAAGTACATCATTTGACAGCACTGCAAGGTTTTGTTTAGTTTTTGGTCATTGCACCATTCAAACTATTCTTGAATCTATATGTTTTACTTTCACATTGATTTTTCTTCTGATTGTGGTTGTGATTAATTAGTAGCTGCTCTTATTTTAAAAAGTAATGCTATTATTTACATATAGAAAAACTTTGCTTTCTTGTTTTCTGATCTCAATATTACCTTGCACTATGTTCAATATAGAATCCATGGCCTGAAATCAGGAAAGTTGTTAAAGGAATTTCGTGGCCATACATCTTATGTGAACGATGCCATCTTTACAAATGATGGAACTCGTGTTATTACTGCCTCCAGTGATTGCACAGTGAAGGTAAGCTACCATGATAACCCATGATACCCATCATAGCTTACTATGAAGTTCTATCTTGTGTGCATAATTGATACTTTATTCCTTATATAGGTCTGGGATTTGAAGACTACAGACTGTCTACAGACATTTAAGCCACCACCTCCTTTAAGGGTATGTCTTGTCTTTATAAAAAGTGCTTGTCGTGGGTTGTAGCTATAGAACTATTTTGGCTTGTTTTGCGTCTTCGTTTTTCTTTAACTAGTTCTCTTGGTCTAACTGTCGTTTATTCCTTTTATGATTGCTAGGGAGGGGATGCATCTGTGAATTCTGTTCATCTTTTCCCCAAAAATCCAGATCACATCATTGTCTGTAACAAGACATCGTCAATATACCTCATGACACTTCAAGGACAGGTACTTGCTCTTATTTTCTCCCATATTAGGGCAATAGAGTTTTCTGGTGGCTTTTCAGTTTCTTATTTGGTCCTTGTAGTATCGTGGTGAGAAATGTACAACTTATATAATTATTTACTTAATTTCCTAATAAATCTGAGCCTTATAGTCAAGATATTTACTAAATCTGGATTTTCTGAAGGTATGTATAATTCTAGAGATTCTGTGACATACCTGAAATTTGCCAATCGATGGAGGCTGGCAGACAAGCAATATCATAATGAGTTTATTACGCCCTACTTTGCGTTTGTTTCACAACATGCTGATGCTCATGTGTGTTGTTTCCCCTTCCTGGTGATCCATATTAGATCTTAGATCTCGTAGAGTTAATCCTATTTAGCATATCAGGGAGACATTAGAAGCTCTGAGAATAATAAAATAGAAAACAGGGTATTTCGTTTGTTTGACATTTTCTAAAATTGTTCCCTAAATATAGAGTTGAAAATATCTGAAAAGTGTATTGTGTCCTTGGAGTTCCTAAAATCTGTTTCCAAGCAGACCCTACGTTTTAAAAGATAGTGATTCGTTTCGTTTTATTTGAAATATTGTTATTTCCATATGATCAAATCTTCATTCGACTCAGGAGCTTAGAAGTGGAAACTATATAGAAACACAATGGAATTGAAGAAAATATTTGGAAATGCATCAGAATGCATGGAAATGTAAACTAGAATCTGTTGTGCTTATAAGTAAACTCAAGAGTTGCACTTATTACTTATCAAAAAAAAAAAAAGTAAACTCAAGAGTTGAATAGTTGACCATATTTGAGGCTAACATATTTACAATAGGACACTAATGTAAAATTAGAAAGGGTAAATTGCACTGACACCCCTTGAGGTCAACGTCACTCAGCCAACGGTCAACGGCTTTGTTTACATTGACACCCCTTGAAGTGTCAAAAGTCTAAAATGCCCCTGATTTTTTAATTCAATTTTATTCTAAAAATATCAGCCCTATGAAATGACTAAATTAGCCAGCTAACTTACCCTAATTGCAAACTGATGAAGAGCCACCACAACCCACTGCCACCAACCTACCCCTTCTTTCTTTCTCTCTCCCTCGCCACCGCAACCTCCACCTCACAACCACCACCCACCATCGCCACCTCCACCCCGTCCACCCCGTTCTTTAGTTTTCTCTCCAATCACTACATCGTCGAAACCCATCCCCAGTTGGCCACATCGTGACTACAACTTGGTGACGCTAATGCTGGCGCGGATTGCGTCGCCACATCTGCACCAGTAGACGCTACAGATGGGTCATTTTGGAAGCAATTGACGAGGGAGGAGGGTGGGGACGATGTACCAGCGCACATATTTCCACGCTCCGACCACTAATCGTGAGACCTTTGCGTCCGTGAACCTTCGATGACCAAAAAGAGACCCAGTTTGTAATCCCTCAACCTCTCCCATATCTTCACCGCCGTTACGATGATTCGTTTGACTGTGAAGCGTTGGATCTATGATGGAATCCTTGGTACTCGGTACGGCGTCGCCGATGATGATGATGATGACGACAGCTGAAGTCTTGGTGCTCGGTACAACGAATGGCTCTGATTAGGTTCTGTTGGTTTTATTTTAGAGTTTCGGGTTAGCAATTGGTGGTTGGTATGGTGGTTGGAGTTAGCAATTGGTGTAGTGATTTGAATTCAATTTATTAGGATTTTAGGCATTCTGAGTTTGTTAAAATCTGAAATTAAATAAGCATGTTTGATCCGAATATGCTGTGATTTTATTCTTAGTTTTAGGGTTTCAAATTAAACCATCTTCATTCTGGAATAGGTGCAGAAAGTTTTAATATTTTCTTCAAAAAGCATGAGATTTACAATTTTATGAAATAAATTGCAGATCTTACCCCTAATTTTTTCGGGTTTTGACCTTGAGGTATTTTTTTTTTTGAGTTTGTTCTGATCTCAATTATAAGTGTTTTAGATTAGGGTTTTCTATAATTTCTCTGAAATCTGAGATAATTTGGAGGTAATGTGTTGTTTTAATAAAGGAGTTATGCTTTGTATTATCAATCTTAGTTGAGTAAAGGACTTAGTTCCCAAAATTAGTAAGCCTAAGACTTGATGTTTTTTTGTTTATGGGACACCTCTTCGAAGTGGGCAGCTACGGATGAGAGAGGTGGTGGTGGTGGTGGTGGTGGTGGTGAGGATAGAGAGAGTGCAGAATTTTTGGAGAGAGAGAGAGAGAATGGGAAATGAAGGTTCTTTTGGTCCTTCAAATTTAGTTTAAAGGGTTATATTAGTAATTTACACTTTTTATGTATTTGTTGATTAAGTCAAAGGGCTAAATTGTCATTTTCTCGTGTGTCAAAGGTCTGGAGGGGGTCTGTATGTAAACTTTTGAAACCTCGGGGGTGTCATTGTAAACAAAGCCGTTGACTGAAACCTCAGGGTGTGTCAGTGCAATTTACGCAATTAGAAATTATGTGAATTAGTAGTTATCAAATTATTGTTGAACTACTTTTTTTAGATCAATTATATTTTAAATTACAATCAACTGCACTGGATTAACTTTTGCATATAGACTAAAGAGTACTCTTAAATTGCAATAAGAGTGCATTATAGGCCATAAAAAATTCTTAGTTTCATTTATTATGTTTGTTTAAATATAACTTGGTAAATTCTTGTACATGGGTATATTTTCGAGAAAAAAAAAATACAATAATTCGTGGTAAAACATTCCGATCTCTCTATCTTTGGTGACCACTGCCAGGTCATAGTATTGGTAGCAGAACAACATTAATATCACTTTACTCTTAGTAAAAAACTTTAATATCACTCTACTTATAGTGATGAAATGCTATGTACTACAGTGGTAAGGTTTTTGTGTGTGTGTGTGCAGCTCCAATAGTTAAGTATCAGTTGATTCGGTCCAACGTATTATTCGCGTGTCCTTACAAACAGCAGATGATATTATTACTACAGTGGTTAGGTTCCGTTAAGTTCACATTTGATGTGTGAACTATGAAGTCACCTACCTGATCATAAGCATATCTAAAAAGTGAACATATTTCATACATAACGATAAGAAAGTTGTGTATAGGCCATGTCTTTTCACACAGCACACTGAATCCACCTCCAACAATGAGGAGGTTTCCAGAGCTTGATCTCGGCCTATTGATCTGAAATCGATCCTAGAAGCTTTAGCAAGGCTTCTGGACTTTTCTATAGCTTTCCTCTCTCTCTCTCTTTTGTAATCTATGCAAGTCTTCAATCCAGTTGTCTGGTTCAAAACCTTCTGAACTCAAATATTACAAATTTTCACTGTGTTTCTCAACTGAAACAAAGTGAAATTTAAATCCTTGGGCTCTAGAATTTTTTAAGAATTCTTTTAGCGACATATTAATTGTGCTAGAGGACATTACTCAATGCTGATTTTTGGAATGGGAAGATTAGAGATGAATCTAACCTTCATCAATATTTTGTACATGTACAAAAAAAAATTCCATTGCTTTTGATCAGAGCATGTAATGTCTTACTACTCTTTACATGCACTAAGTCTGTAACGACCCTAAACTAAAACCATTTATACAAAAATTTCGGCATGACCTCCCCTAAAAGTGGTCCTTCAACAACCTGTCCCAATACACAAAACAAAAAAATATACTCCAGCATCCCATTCATTACACCTCAACATAGTTCCTCTCATGGTAGAACATGCACACACCAATTAATCCAAATTATCATTATTACAGTCCCAAAATACATGGTTAAGATCTAAAGTCCATGTCTTACAACGTTACATGATACAATTACATGGAAATATATACCATGATTCCATTAGTTTCATTTACATTAAACAAAAGATAAGTTCGTTCTTAAATTACAAGGCCATGAATACTAACTTAGTTACATTTCCACAACTATGAATATACATAGAATGGTCAAAATACAAAATAGCAAACAACCTTCTAACAACTTTCAAGTTTGCGGAGGATTGTCATCCGCCGTTTCTTTGCCATGACCTGAAAAAAATAATAAGTATGCAGGGTGAGCTATATGCTCAGTAGGTGATACTTAAGACACGCATCTTGTGTCCCCGTGAATCCAAACATAGAATAGGTCAATGGGAATGGGGATCATACAATATCGGGATAATACAACATTCCAATCAAACTCAAGTACAAACAATGCAATGCCATGAAATGCGAATGCATGCCGATGTCGCTCCCCGTTTTCACATTTAAAATCCATCTCTTTCAAACTGTTAATATAATCCGCCCTTTGGTGACCCCGTAGCGACATGAGAGGAGGATTGGCTAGTGTCCCTGACCCTTGGTAACCCCGCGGCGTCATTATGGGGCCCAGCTAGCTCAACCACGCTAGGGCGACTCCCTAGTCCCCTCTAGGCTATATTAACACTCCGGCCCTTTGGTACCCCCACGGCGACCGGGTTTTCCAAAAACATTTTCATCAAAATACTTTTCCCCAAAACTTCCTATTTTCATTTCAAAAACAATCTTCCCAATCATGTCTCATGGTATGCATGTACATCATGTTCTTAATGCCATGGAAGTGAAGGCTTTCACATTATACAATTGTGCATACATTACAAGTACTCTAGGGAAATTACACATGCCATCCCATATCATTCTAGCAAGTTTTACAACAATATAAGCATGGTAAATCAATTTATCAGACAAGGAAATTAGTCAAATAAACATGTTCTCATACAACTCAAGTAACACATTTAATCATAACCTCACATATAACACTTACATCATCTTTATTACAAGTAATTCAAAAATAAGCATGCTTTTCAACAATTTAGGAGGTATAATTCACAAAAGAGCAAGAACATCATGAGTTAAGGGCCCCTACCTCAAGATTGCACAAAACCCTTAAAATGGGTCTTGAAATTCGAACTCCAAGAAGGGCACCAAATCTGGAATTGTTTGTATGGATGCGTAGAGCTCGTCGTGGGCTTCGTTTTGCCTCAAACGGCGCCTAAATC